TTCATGATATTATTAAAATTTTAAGTAACAGGACAACTTCTCAAGTAGTCTAATTTAGGCTCAATATGACTAAGTTAAATTAGTCAGAGATTCAAGGTATTACTGGGTTAAATTTTTTGTTTATTTTACTAACAGATGAAGATGACATGACCTATAGTAGTTCATGCCTTTAAGAAAAGAAAAATATTATTTTTAAAAACATTTTCTCTCAAATGCTTTCAGAGATATGGAAGTGAAAACTGTACATAGCATTCAATATGTTTTTTTTTTGTTTGTTTTTTTTTAACGTGGACAACAGTGGAATTTTATAAATTCTCATCAATATGTTTTGTACATTACTTCATTTGTATCTCACAACAGCTGTGCCTTGAGGGAGACCTTTTAAAATAAAGAAACCCAAGAGTAAACTACTTCAGTGATTTGCCAAAATCACAGGTTTAAGAACAATGATCGATTGATCACGCTGATCATATTCCATCTCCTGAAGGGAAATATTAACAACCTGGCAGAGAAGACCACAACACTTACCTGCTCTGCGTATCCCCGAACCACCTGTCTCTGCTTTAAGTTGCTCTCTCCATCAAGGCCGGAAGTCTCAATGTGACAGATTCCATCTGGATCAGTGGAGAAGAGTAAGACCATATCTGCAGGAATGACTTCGTTGCAGGAGAGCCGAATAAAGTCCCCAACAATAACATCTTTCCAGCATCGGTCAATATATTTTTTCTCTTTCCTGAATTCAAGAAGATACACACACAAAAATCAAACTGAAAACCCACATAATTATTTTTTTTAAAAAATTTATTGCCTAATTTGCTTTAGTGGCAAGAAGCTGCACTGCAATCTTGAAGGAATGTGGGTCGAATCCACCAGAAGGATGGACAATCCCCTCCCATGAGATCAACTGCCTCTGAAAACCTGCTGGAGGGTCAGTCATGAGTTGGTTCTGACTCGACAGTACACAGCACCAGCAACAAACAACTAAAAAGCACTTCCCAGTTACTGTTTTTTCCTGTGGGATTTTAAATCATTATGCTGTTTAAATGGAATCTGGGAATAAGTTTGAACATTGATGTTCTTGAGTACCATCGAAATGGAACCAACCCAGAGTTGACCCTCCAGTGGGTTTTCAGAAGCAGCTAATTGCACAAGAGGAGACTGCCCATCCTTCTCCTGCAGAGCAGCTGGTGGATTCGAACCACATGCATTTGGGATTGCAGTGCAGGTTCTTACCAATAGGCTACCAGAGCTCGTGATGGTTTGTTCATGAATGAAGGAAGGTGATGTTCCTGTATGCTATTTCCCTTCAGGTACCAGGGATCTGGAATTGCACAAAACACATCATCTTTTTTAAAAAATAATTATGTGATACAACATTGTTTATCTTTTATAACATAGTCTTTAAAAAACTCTCATTGCCATCTACTTGGAGCCAAATCACAGCTGACCTTCTGTTAGGTTTTGGAGGCTGTAAATGGTACAGGATATGGGCTATCTTTCTCTGGGAGATCCAAACTGTCAGAAACTTACAGCCTTTGAGTTAGCACTTCAATGGGCTACACCATCAAAATTCCCTTAAAATAAAGTATGTTTAAAGGATTGGGGTAAATTTTAGCCCATTAAACATGAAAAAGGAAGTCACAGAATTGGTAAAACTCAAAGTCCACAATTTGCTTCACCTGAAAAACTTAGTTTGGAAGCAGGAGTGGCTTTCACTTCCTAAACAAA